CTGTGCTGTAGTGTCCAGTCAGTCAGGGTCACTGTGCTGTAGTGTTCAGTCAGTCAGTGATAATTTAATGCAACTGCCCCTCCTGATTCCTCTTTTTTTATCTCATCACACAGTGTGGAATGTGCTACTACATACCATCTTTCATTTTGTTTTCTAAAAATACAGCGACTGGACACCTGCACCCCCTAGAAACACATACCTCACAAGACACAGCACATCCCTCAATCCACAGGGAGAAAGAGAGTGTGTGTGTGTGTGGTGGGATGGGCGAAGTTAAAAGGATCGAAAAGGACGAGGAAAAAAAATCAAAATAATTCAGCAATTAACAAAACCAACAAAAACAGGATTTCTGCTTCACCCTCTCTCTCTCTTTCCTGAATTCTCTGCCTCTCTTCTCCTTCCCTCTTTCATCTCCCTGTGTCTCCATCTCTCCCCGTTTCCTCCTCTCCTTCCCTCTCTCCCTGTTTTTCCCTCTCTCTCACCCCTCCTTTCTCAGTCTCCTCCTCTGCTTCCATCTCCTCCCCCCCCCATCTGTCCATCTCTCCCGCCAAGCCCTCCTCCCTGCCCCTCTCTCCCTCTCTCCCTCTCTCCCTCCCTCCTCCTCTGTGCGTGGAGAGTCAGAGGGCTGTGCACAGTGCCCCGTGCACTGAGCGCAGTGATGAGACACACGGCCAGGCTGTGGGTGTGCCGTCTCACCACTTTGCTTGTCAGCGGTGTCTTGGCCTCTGCGATAGCCATCACTGAGCACACAGGTAAGACCGGCTTCTCACCTTAGTCGTGCAGTTAAATAGGGTGCTTAAATAGTCATGTCTATACAGCACAAGAACATCTGTTGTAGTTTAAATACAGTACAGTGCAGCCTAACTGGACATTACAGTACATATATAAATCAGAACACTACACTGCGGAGTGCTGAATCATATTAAACGGTATAAGCACAATCTACCGTGATGCTGTATGTATAACAGTCTAAAATGTCTACTAATCCGTAACAAATGCTAATGATACAATTATCATTCCTATTAATAATAGTGGTTGTAGCAGAAATACTAGTACTATATTGTTGTATGGTGCTGCTGCTGCTACCAGCTCTAAGAAATAAAAGCATGGAGACTGCTGGGCAGCTGCAGATGGAAACAGCAGCATATGTAGAAATTGTTACGCAGTGACACCTAGTCGAGCTGACAGAGAGAGCGCGAGCACGCGCCGGAGAGTTTATTGCGGTTTAACTCGATCCAGATGCTCTCTGGCTGAGGGGATTAGGCTGTGTGGGTTATGTAACGAGCAGTCTGACAGATGTTTGGAGTGACAGAGCGGGGCTGAAGGATCACCTGCAGGCGAAAGATCTGCTCTGCCTGCCTGCCTGCCTGCCTGGCTGGTATGTCTCCTGCAGCCGAGGGGGCCTGCTGAAGAATACATTTTCCCCGCGTCTCCCCCCATGTCCACAGGGCTGCGCCGGGCGGGGTTAGAGAAACTGAGCCGGCGAGGCGAGGCAGAGAGGGAGTGTGGGGAGCTTTAGCTGAAGGCTTGGTGACATTAATCATGAGAGAAAGAAGACCTTTACAAACTCTTAACTCTGGGATTCCCGGAGTCCACACCGATTTGACAGACAGATATAAGGACAGAGCCACAGACAGATGGAAAGAGAGACAGATAGACACCAACAGATAGACAAAAACATCCTCAGACAGATATATAGACACAGATCAATCCATAGACAGCTACATTCATAGACAGACAAGGTTGCCGGTTCGTATCCCGCGGCCGGCAGAGTAGGAATCCTACTCCGTTGGGCCCCTGAGCGAGGCCCTGAACCCCAGCTGCTCCAGGGGCGCCGTATAAATCGCTGACCCTGCGCTCTGAACCCCAGCTTCTCTCCCTGTCTGTGTGTCTCATGGAGAGCAAGCTGGGGTCTGAGAGAAGACACATTCCTAATGCAAGAAATTGTATAGGCCAATAAAGTGTGAGTTATAGCTCTTGGGGGTGCGTCCTGAGAGCCATACCTACACGTATACCTACTCCCAGTGCCCTGTCTCAAGATCGAGCCTGTCCTTGCCAGCCCCCCTCGCCAACGCTGTGAAAATAATCAGCTTGTTCAGTTCATGTACTCTAATGTCTAGTCTGTGCATCTGTATTCCCACTCTCCCTCAGAATCTTTCTCTCCCTCTCTCTCCTGTGAGAACTCCCCACTCCGGATCTCTCTCCTGGTCCTGCTGGACAGCTCAGGCAGCGTCACACCCTGGGAGTATCGCCACTTCCTGCTCCTTCTGTCCCGGCTGTCCGGGCGACTGAACTGGGGCCCGACTCAGGCGGCTCTCGTCTCGGTTAGTGAGGATCCACAGCTGGTGTGGCCCTTTGGGCAGCACAGGGCTACCTGGGAAAGCTTACCAGGGCAGCTACAGCAGCGCTTTGGAGACAGCAATGCTGGGCAGGCTTTCCGGTGAGAGACAGAGAAGGACAGTGCAGTGACCCTGACTGACTGGACACTACAGCACAGTGACCCTGACTGACTGACTGGACACTACAGCACAGTGACCCTGACTGACTGACTGGACACTACAGCACAGTGACCCTGACTGACTGGACACTACAGCACAGTGACCCTGACTGACTGGACACATCATTGCAGATTATATTACTTTGTTGATGGTGAGGATCAGTATTATAATGGTTATGCCTCTCACTTTCAGGTGGGCCCAGACAGTATTCCGCCAGGTGGACAGACAGACCGACAGTCAGGTCCTTCTCTGGCTGACGGATGGCCACTCCACCGATGATGTCATCAGCCCCGCCCAAGCCCTGAAGAAGGAGCTGGGGGTCAGAGTCCTAATGGTGATCTCGGGGCACGGAGGTCGTGGGGTCTCAGAGGTCTCCAGCGAGGGGGGGTCCATCTTTGCAGACCCCCAGAATATCCCAGAGCTGGCCGGGCAACTGTGTCACATGATCACTGGTAAGGAAGTGATGGTTGCATTAATATATTAAACATCTTACATTATTGTTGTTTATTACAGTAAACAGCATCAATAATTAACGTATTGTAGAATTGTATATTAGTATAACCCTTTATACTATACTAGAAAGTAGCCTACTGCAGCGCATTGCTTCATATTGTAATGTACACTAAAGCAATGACTCACATTAGTGCTGAGCATGCATTTTGGAGAAAAGATTGATTGCAAAGAAGTAGTTAGATCCTGGGTTGAGGGGCTGTGGTCCAAGGAGCAATAGTTCTTACATGTGAGTGCCGATCTGTATAACGGCTTCAACTAAACTCCGGTAACGACATTACTGACATTTTCGACCACAGAATATCAATCCGTCAATTGAAACTCCATTTGGTATTGAAAGGAGTTCGGCAACGCAGTAAACAGTTTGTCAGATTGTGCTTTCAGAGAGAAACCTTTCTTTCCTCCATTTAACTAATGACACTCTCTTCAGACTAAAGAGACTCAGTTCCTTCAGCCTGTCAGTGTGGGATACTCCCTTCTGACTAAAGAGACTCAGTTCCCTCAGCCTGTCGGTGTGGGACACTCCCTTCAGACTAAAGAGACTCAGTTCCTTCAAATTCTGAACTTCTAAATAGATATCCTGACATTTTGTTTCATATTTTAATGGGATCCCCTCATGGATATAAAGATCTACGTGACTAGTCAACAGAAACACCTGAGTCTTCTCTGCATTGGGTAACTTGCTCTTTAGGCTTCACATTTCTCCATCTAGGTGTTTTGTTAACAGTGTTCAGACACAGGTGGGAATGAGTCCCACCCAAAGAGCAACCGTTCTGCAGAGTCATTTACATTCCACATGGATAAATAAAACCAGTCTCCTTTCTTTGTCAGGATCAGTGCCTTCCGTCTCTCCCTCTGTCGCCATCTCCCACCCTCAGCCCACCTCCCTGCCCGTCTCCTGGCCCCCTGTTGCCCTCGCTCCCTTGAAGCACCCCTTCCTGATGGTGCAGGCGAACCACAAGTGGAGAGAGCGAGCTCTCTGGAGACAAGAGTTGGGGAGAGAGACCCACAGCGCCACCTTGTGGAATTTGACCACCTCCCGCAGGCAAAAGCCACTGTTTGTTAACATCACCACCTCAGCCTACACTCTGACAGGTTTAATTAGCTTTTTAAAGAGATATTTTTTAGATGTCTGTTTTTAGATGTTTGCTTAGGGTCTATATTAGTACCTGTGTGTGTTAGGAGTGTCTCTGGGGTCTATGTTAGGGTCTGTATTAATCTCTGTGTGTGAGAAGTGTCTCTAGGGTCAATATTGGAGTCTGTATTAATCTCTGTGTGTGTGAGAAGTGTCTCTAGGGTATAAATCTAGTGTATTTATTAACCTCTCCTATAGATGACTCTCAAGTGATCTATTAGGATCTGTATTAATATCTCTATGTTGTGTCTCAAGAATTAAATTCTCTTTGTGTTAGGTGTGTTTCTAGGGTCTGTATTAATTTCACTGTTAGGTGTACCTCTAGGGTCCATAATAATACAGTCAAGCCCATACTTATCTCTGTCTTCCTATTTTGTTTTTCTTTTTTATTTGCTTTATCACTGTTCAATTCCTTCTTAATACAATTCAGCCTCTGTTCCCTTTTCACACATTCTCTTTCAGTCAATTGTTCATTCTTTCGTAGCGTCCAGTTAGTCAGTCAGCCCCCTTCCACCTCTGCCTCTCTGACGTCTCCACTGTTGTCTCCATCTGTCTCAGGGATCTCAGCAATCAAAAGAGGCTCCCGTTCGCTGTACCTCTCCCTCCCCCCTTCAACTCCCTCACTCTCCCACTATCACCTCATCTATGGAGCGCCGGGGTCAGGGCTCAAACCTCGGTCTCTGAAGGTTTCGGGGTCTCGGAGAGGAGTGTGGCTGACCTCTCTGACCCCCGACACCGATTACCTCATCTCTGTCACCGCCCACTACCATGAAGGAAGCACAGCTCCCATTTCCCTGAGAGCCAAGACACTGACTGGTAATAAAGAATGTAAAGATAATCTAGTAATTAGGAAAGAAATTGAATGTTTAATGACATAAATTGAGTAACAAATTGACTTGCTCATATCTCTATGCCTCTTTCATTCTTTATCCATTAACAGTAGCAAAAATATAAATGATGAACTGTAACCACAGAACCATTAATTCCCTCTTCAACATTTGTTTCCTTCCCAATTAACCAAATAAGAGAGATTTACTCCACCTACTCACCTCATGCTGACCGACATCACTTCCTCCTCCATGACGGCTTCGTGGGCGGAGCCTCCAGGCAGACAGGACGTGAGGCAGTACCGGGTGCGCCACCTGACGGGGAGCGGACAGGAAGTGACCTCGCTGAGGCTGCCCGGCCACACCCGGACGGTCTTCCTGCGCGGCCTGCGGGAGGGGGCGCGGCACAGAGTGTGCGTGTCCGCAGAGTACCGCCCCGGCCGCAGCCGGGAGACCTGCGCAGAAGAGACCACCCGGAGAGGTACAGCGAGAGAAGTCGAGAGGGAGAAAGAAAGAAACAGAGAGGAGGGCGAGAGAGGGGGAGTGGAGATAAAGTGGTAGGAAGAGAGATGGAGACCGGGGAGGACAAGATGGAGAGAGAACTAGAGAGTGGTGGAGGTGTAAAGTAGAAAGCGACAGAAAAGGACAGAGAGAGACTGAGGGAGAGAGAAAGTCCGTAGCATCTCAGTAAAGTTACTGCATGTATCTTTAATAAACTTCCTCTTCACCTCTGTTCCAGCTCCAGTGATGCAGTGCTGCCACTTGCCCTACTGGTGTCAAGTACTGGTGTCAAGTTCAAGATGCAGGAAGTAAAAACAGTCACAGTCACAAGCAGTGCTTGACTCGGACAAGATACAACTGGGCTACAGCCCCAGGCACACAATGGAGTAAGCACAAACACTGAAGGATTGTGTCTATAATAGACTGGGGCTTGTGATCACTATTCAGGGCCTGCAGCAGTAGGTGGATAGTAATTACTCTGGGGTGCTAGAGTGATGTGCTTAGATTTGCCAGTTATCACTCTCTTAGGGTTTGAAATGGGAGGTACTATTTGGACATGGAAAGCTCTGAAGTATTAGTCATAAACACGCCTTTCAGAGATTAAAAAAAAACAAACTTTGATTCCCACAATCCCTTCAGCAGATGTTTCCCCGCAGTGACAATCTGGGAATTGTAGATTACAATCTGTTCTGCTGGTGGTGCATAACAGGGTACAAACGGACAGATTTATCTTTTTTAAACAGATAAATCAATAAACATACAAGCACATATGGTATGTCTACTGTGAGTAACTATAAACCACCAGGCTTTTAAAACCAGATCCGGAAGGATTACTAAAAGTATTATTTTTTTGGGGAACAAAATGGAAATTAAAGAGAGCTGGGAGATTTGTGTCCAGGCTATATACTGTAGGTAATTAATCTCTGCAGCACCTAGTGCTTGCCTTTCTCTGGGAAACACACTTCTTTAGGTGTTTCTTAAGAAGGCCCTCAAGAGCTCAAATCCCAGCGTTTGGGTTCATTGACCTTTTAAAAAGCATCATGTGGTTTTTTTCTATCCCTGTTAAGAGAAAGTGACTGAATTGTTGTTTTTTTGCAGTTGGCTTTGGGTTTTTGGGGCAGATCCCGAAGATCACAGATAGGACGAGTTACAAAGTAGGGGACGGGGAATGTTATACAAGTCTTGAGACCCGGAGGACACAAAAATAAATATCGACAGAAATAAATGCTTTCCTCGTTTCTCCCCCAGATAGGAAAAATGATCCTGAATGCTGTCTAATATGGGAGGGGTTTTAGATTACCCGAATAAAAACAATCTTTGATTTGCAAATCCACTAACACACAAAGCCTGTGACCGCGTGGTATAGAGACTGTGGGTTCACTATATTAGTAATTATAGTAGTAATTACATGGGGGATATACAGTATTTTTATGTGTTGTACATAAACTCTGGAATAAAAGGTGATACGAATAATTTTCAGATGGAAGTGTTTTCTTTGGCAGTGTCTTTCATTTTCCCTCTAAAACTGTCAAACTGCTGGGGCCCAAAAGCTAATGTGCAAACCTCTGGATTTCTGTGTGTGCCTGTCTCTCGATTTGTCCTTGTCTGTCACTCTGCCTGTCTGCTCTCCTGCCTGTGTGTCGGCCTCTCACTCTGTTTCATTTGGGCTCTGTCTGTCTCCCAGTCTGTGGCCCTAACTTGCCCCAGGAATGTCTCGCTGTCTGCTTCTCAGTCTGTCCCTCATTCTGTGTTTACAGTCTGCCAATGTCTCAGCCTCCCAACCCATCTCTGCTGCTTTCTGTCTGCCTGAGTCTTAAGTCTTTCAATCTCTTCGGTCACCTATGTGGTGCATACTTCACTCAGTCTGTTTTCATGTTGATTACCAAGTCCAGAAACAATAAAACCCACAATACTACACAACCACAATAGACCAGGAGACAGGGAGAGAAGATCACAAAGAATCCCTCAGTAATAAACACACACGAGAGGACGGGAGACACAGTGAGAGGTGATCACAGAGAATCCCTCAGTAATAAACACACACAACAGGACAGGAGACACAGTGAGAGAGAGAGAGGAGATCACAGAGAATCCCTCAGTAATAAACACACACAACAGGACAGGAGACACAGGGAGTGAAGATAACAGAATCTCCAAGCAATAAACACAACAGAACAGCAAAGGCAATGAGTGTAGTAATTTAAACATGGTTTATCTAATTGGTTCATCTGTATTTTGTAAAACATACCTCAATCATAGAGAGATTAACACAATTTTTGAAAAAAACTGTAGTTACTATATACAGTTAATTCTGGCATAATCCTATGGTTTTTCCTTTATGTTTTAACCATATAAATATGTTTTAAGACGTAAGTCACGGTGAGAGGAGAGGAGATCACAGAGAATCCCTCAGTAATAAATACACACGGTTAACACAGTAGGAGAGGAGAGGCAGAACAACACAAAGGGAGCAGAGAGTTTTTCTCCAGTCTTTAACAACAATGTTTTTGATTGAATCCAAATCTTTCCATTTCGGTCATTCTCTGAATATTTTGGCAGACAACTGAGTCGCTGGAGTGAATCACAGACATCATGTGTTTCCCCGACTGCCTCTCCCCACCCCTCTTCTCCTGACTGACAGAGGGGAGAGGGACCGAGCAACAGACAGCTTTAAATTGAAAACACAGAGAGGCAAGTCAACAGGCTAGGCAGGTCAAATTAGATCACAATGTGCAAGACAGACACTTACAGACCCCGACGGACAGACAAATCGAAACACAGCTCAATTAAGTAATTTACAGGACCGTTTATTTGAATATCTTTACACCCAAATCTGTACAAGCTGTACAAATGAAATTTCTTCATCGTTTGTTCTTTTCTTCCCATCATGGTCCTGCAATGCAGGAGCAAAACAACACACTCAACAAGGGGAAACAGTTTCCAGGATGCCTGGAATATTATGTTGGAAACGATTAAGATACACATCAACAGAAATTCATATCCCTGTTGCGAATGTGTGCTGAGCTATTCTGCACTGCGTGGGTATGCATCTCAGACGCAGGGATAGAGACACAGCCTGACAGCCCTGTCAGACTGACAGGGGGACATAGAGACGGACACGTACTCAGACTGAGACAGAGACAGACAAGAGTAACACTGACACAGAGACGGGTTATTGAACTGACAAGGGGACACAGGCAACAGGTTCTCAGATTGCCACAGAAACGGACAGATCAGATGTCACACAGACAGAAACCAGTGGACAGACAGTCAGGGTGATCTCAGACAGAGCCAGATGGAGAGGTACCGTACACAGTCTGTCTATCTCAGCAGCATGAACAGTCCGAACAGGAACAGCACAAACGACAGGACTCCTCCGACCATGCTCCACAGCTGGGACTCCTCTGGAATGTAAAATACAAAAATCCCTGCGATTACAGTGGCTCTCCGGAGGCTTGGTCAGGAAATTAGGTTCTTTAGATTGCAGGCTGACCCTTATGGGCCAGAATTCACCAAATCAGGACTGGACTATGTCATTGATCAACTATTAACTGGGAAATTGGAGAAAGAAAAAAAAACTTTCAGATTCTAATATATTTCTTAAACAATAAAAGCAGTCATGTCTATAAAAATGTGCATCAACCCAAAAGATTAAATTATTTACATTGTATTATAGAATTAGCTCAGGCTGACAGATGAAGGCACAGAGGTGGACACAGACAGGTACATATACAGCAAGAGAAATGATCAAAAAGACATACATGAAGATCAAGTTACGCACTGAAACACTGACCGGGGGCGGAAACGGTGATACTGGCTGTGATGGGCTCAGAGAGAGAGTGGTGTGACACAATGCAGGAAAATGTAGCTCCAGTCAAATCTTCAGAGGGGGACACGGAGATGTAGGCAGAGAGAGAGTAGGTCCCGTCACTGTGCTGGCGGTGACTGGAGAAATAGACCCCATTTGAGATAGGGACAGGCTCAGAGGCAGATGGGGAGAGTGAGAACCACTCCACCTAAAAGAAAGAGGTGAAGGTGAGGTCTAATATAGACCCTAGAGACACTCCTCACACAGAGAGATTAATACAGACTCTAATATAGACCCTAGAGACACACCTCCCACACAGAGATTAATACAGACCCTAATGTAGATCCTAGAGACATTCCTCACACACAGAGACTTACACAGACACTAATATAGACCCTAGAAACAGACCTCACACACAGGGATTAGTACAGACTCTAATGTAGACCCTAGAGACACACCTAACACAGAAAAATGTAGGTTCTTAAATAGATCTCAGAGACATACTTCAGGTGAATGGATACATGTCCTAAAACATACAGACTTAATCAATAAGACCTATAGAAGGGGAGAGTGTGAATTGGAACTACACAGAGAGAAAGAAGGAGCACGTTCAACTGACCTGAACATCCAAGGGGTAATAGTGGTCACAGTGACAGATCACCCTCTGAGGTGTATCATCCTGGAACACTAGCTGGTTTGGAGTGAGAGTGACTGAGGGGGTCTCTGGAGGATGGAGAGAGAAGGAGAGGACAAGGGCCCTTGTCACACATTAAAGGGGAACTGCGGTCCCAGTTTCTCAGACTGGCAATTAAGCGTCTGCAAGAAAATAAACTCATTGATGGTATCCCAAACTTCTACAAGTTCCGAATTAAGCACAAAATCAGGAACTTTGTGAAAGGACTGTATTGGTGCCACGCTGTCAAGAGTTTGAGCGAATTTGCGACATGAAGCAGCCCTTCCTGCTCACTAGTCTCTGATGTAATGACATGTATGAGCGGATAAGTCCAGGCTGTGCAGCTGTCATTTCACCACAGAAATCTTCCAGCGCGATCTGCATGCAGCGTCAACAAGCACGTCGTATTTGTCAGCAAATCATCTCGAAACCGAGCGTAACATTTCTACTGGACTTAAAAGAGACGTATTCACAAGCCTGCTTGCCTACAATCTAATAGGGTCGCTTTTACAGGGCCGTCTCAGACCTCTTGCCTCCGGACACACTTGGGACTGAAAACACAGCTTGTAATTCCAGCAGCAATGCAGAGGGGATGTGCTCTCATTAGTCCCGTCCGCGGCAACATTAACATTTTCTGTTTCTTACCGTTAATGCAGGCAATGGGCGGCAGAGAAATGATTCAATCAAGCAAATGCATTTCAGACAGAGCCTACCTTTCACACCAATATAGAGCGCTCAAGGAGCGAGAGACTTACTGGGAAGACGTGACAGTCACCCACCACACGGAGAGAGCGATGGGAGGAGACAGAACTAGGTGAGAACGCCACAGTGCGATAGGCAGCAGAGTGTGAAAGAGAAGGAATAGAAGAAGTGAGAATGGGTGAGGGGGCAGAGAGGGGCAGAATGATTCTAGCATCCACCTGGTTAGCGAGCGGACTCCCCCCCCCAGAGGAGCATGCAGGGACTGCAATCTCGTGAAGATCACAAACACCACTGAGAGAGAGAGACAAAGGAAAAGAGAGCCTGGTGGCCTGGGTGGGAAAATGAACCTGTGGGACAAACAGGAAGTCACACACACACACAGCTGGAGGGATGGGTACTCACGAGTGATGTGCAGTTGGATGACTTGCTGCGCTTGGTACACCCCGGAGCCGACGGTGCAGATATAGGTGCCCTCGTCTGCCACCTTCACATTGGTCAAAGTCAGGGATACATTTCCTTCTTCTAGCACGAGCCCTGGCTCCACACTCGCTCCCTCTCTCTCTGGATGGACTGTGGGCAAGGAATCGAACAAGCAGTCAGTGCCAGGGTAACAGTTTCAAACTACATTTCCCATGAGTGTGCAAGGCAAGCTCCCCTGCAGATTCCCATCATGTGACAGCTTTCCAAACTACAACACCCACAATGCATTAGGCCAGACCGGCAAGAGAAACTGCAGGACCCTGTGGGGAGTGTACTGTAGTACTGGATTGTACAGCTTGTTACTGAATACAGATATGCAGCTAAGGCTGTAACAAAATGTGCAAAAAGCAGCAGCTTGCAAAGTGGGGCTGATACTCTTTTACAGAGTTCCTGCATTGTTCAACCCTTTAAACATGTCCACAACTGTCAGCTACCAGTTAACATGGCAAAAAAGTTATATAAAATATCATTAACTGGAAGAAGACTTAGTCTGACTTCCTTACAAACCTGAATTGGATACAGCAGTAAGAAAATGTATGGATGTGATCAATAAAGTCTTATCTCTATCTCTCAGTCTTTAACATGACAACTATCATTCATATTAAACAACGCTCAACATTTTGTTCTTGTCACTGTTATTTCCACAGTGTGGGTTCAGTGTGGTGCCATGAAACATGCTAGACAGGCTTGACACTAGGCTATAAGATTAAGGAAAAGTGACTGATCACAGAGATTGTCAAAGCAATTGGAAGAAACAGACAAACACAAGACAGAAAGGTCCAATAGGAAGGGGGATGATGTCATCCTCACCTGTTGGCTCCTCCCCTTCCCTCCCTGCTCTCAGCTGCAGGATTCTCCGCCCATGTCCCTTGTGCTGCAGTCGCCACTCCAGAGCCACTTCCTGTGAGGGAGTGGCCTCCTTGTAGCCACAGTCAATGAGCGCACTGCCCCCCAGAGGAGCAGTGAGGGACTGCAATCTCGTGAAGACCACAAACACCACTGAGAAAGAGAAAGAAAGAGAGAGAAGCTGATATTAGCACATTCATTGAATGGACAATTACATTAACACTGTGAAGGGAGGGGGACTGAAACACAGCAATACAGCTACATAAAAGAAAATAATTACCTAAAATTCCTGTGAGTCTAAAATTCAGCCATATCACCCTGCAACTCACAACTGGCAACCCACTGAAGCTAAGCAGGTGTGAGCCTGATCAGTACCTGGATAGGAGACCTCCTGGGAAAAACTAAGGTTGCTGCTGGAAGAGGTGTTAGTGCGGCCAGCAGGGGCCGCTCACCCTATGGTCCATGTGGGTCCTAATGCCCCAGTATAGTGACGGGGACACTATACTGTAAACAGGCGCCGTCCTTCAGATGAGACGTAAAACCGAGGTCCTGACTCTCTGTGGTCATTAAAAATCTCAGGGCGTTTCTCGAAAAAAGTAGGGGTGTAACCCCTGCGTCCTGGCCACATTTCCCATTGGCCCTTACCAATCATGGCCTCCTAATAATCCCCATCTATGAATTGGCTTCATTACTCTGCTCTCCTCCCCACTGATAGCTGGTGTGTGGTGAGCGTTCTGGCGCACTATGGCTGCCATCGCATCATCGAGGTGGATGCTGCACATTGGTGGTGGTGGAGGGGAGTCCCCATTACCTGAAAAGCACTATATAAGTGTAAGCAATTATTATTATTACTATTATTATTATAGTCTATGGGAAGCAACCATTTTGGCTCTAACCCTGCCCATGATGCAGGCTTGAGCCAAGATGGCTACTGAATACGGATTAACTGGAAGCCAGCCACACCTGGGCTTTGAATATAGGTACAGTGAAACTGGAAGGAATTTTTAAATGAGGGAAAAGAGCTGCCGGGATAGATTCCAGTGGCATTAGTCAGGCCCTGAGCAAGCCAGTTGAGTGGTTGTTGGCTCGCCTTGCCAGGCACAAGGAGAATAAGCAAGTCGCTGAGGAAGAAGTGGAGCAGCTTCCTAGATCCGTAGTGGAGGAGGAACAAGACAGCATTCAGTCCTTCTGGCCCATCTGGCAGTTAGTCCAAGGATCCAGGCTTCAACAACACAGCTGGGGAGCTGGTTCCAGACTCCTACCACTCTTTGGGGCTCTCCAAACTCCTTTGGATGTGGGTTGGTGGGCATCCTTTGATACTGTAGGAATCAGGTGAGCTAGACCTCGCAGAGTAGGTGTGGCAACAACAGTCTTTGTCTAGAAATCTGTGTTCGGTGAGAAAAGTTGGAAAGGAAGATCTGGAGGTTTGAGGAGTTGATGACTGAGATCTTGCAGGACTGGCCGGAAAGTGACCAACACCTGATTTTAGATCCCAGTTGGGGGGTCAAAAACTATCACCATACTTCTTTTCACAAATTGTGGCCGTAGAGACAGTAAGGAGGATTAAACATTCTGGGATTACTCACCTTCATTCAGGATGGTTCCGGATGGGCTCAGAGGCAGGTCCAGCTTGCTCTGCCTGAGGGGCCTGCCTCCATCCTCTTCCTGCTCTGCTGGGATTGGCTGAGTCCTCAGCACCAAAGTGAGGCTGACCCCACCTCCCTCCAGCTGCAGTGAACCAATGAAAAACGCATCCTCTGGAGACGGCTCTGTCCCTTCTGGACCCCGAGGGAAGTAGCGGCTAATCTCACAGGTCACCTCCTGTTCGTTGCAGTCAGCGTGCAGGAGCGAATCAGCTTCTGGGATCTCCAGTGATGTCACTGCAAGAGCCGAAAACTCGGTTTTAGGATCCCATATAAAACCTTTTTGCAATAGACCTGTCCTCCCTCAGGACGATTTGAAAATGGTTCCGTGTGTTTTAAGTTACTAACTTCAGATAATAGCCGTTGTACATTAAATCACGGTCCCGAGGTATTTTCGTGGTTTTGTAATTTATCATTGAATATGGAGGAAGGGAGAGGAAGCTCAACAGAGCTGCAGCCCAGTGTGTGATCACTTGTCACAGGACAGGAAAGCCAAGTCTGCCTGTGTTCAGTATTTGTGACCAGGCTGTGGTCACTGAGCCTGTCCTCTCTGGACAGCCAGGTCTGCCTGTGTCCAGTTTCTATGCCCAGGCTGTGGTCACCGAGTCTGTCCCCTCTGGAAATTGGAATTCCTTGGAAATGTGTTATCATTAAGCCTGAAATACTCCTGATGTGCCCTGCAGTTCAAATAGTTCCAGGCCTCTTACAGCATACAGACCTGTGTGGCTCCTGATGTCCCCCCCTCCCCAGTGTCCTGCTGATTACTGATCGACTCCCCCACTGACCTGTGGCCTCGAAGATCAGGTTCTCGGGATCGGGAGCCGGGGGGGCGAAGGGAGTGACGGTGTCGAGCGACTCGTCGGCTGTCACGGGCAGGTCGCGGAGAACTAGCGTGGCCTCGTCTCTGGTGAAGAGCGCCCCAGCCCCAGCCAGCCTTCCCCCCATACCCCCTCCCTCCTCCACGAGCGAGCACGCCAGCACCACATCCGCCACGGAGCCTGAGGGAGAAGGAATAATAAGAAGAATGTCATTTAGCCAAAGCGCTTTATGCCATACGGTGTCGTGGGAAGCCGGAACTTACCCAGCAAGCAACGAGCGCAAGGCAGGGTACGCCCTGGATGGGACGCCAGTCCGTCACAGGGCAGGTCCAAGCCAGTCATACATGGGGACAGTTTGGAGGCCACGGTAAAGGCTGAGGGGGGAAATTTGGCCCGGACACTGGGATAACCCCCTACTCTCTCGAGAAACACCCAGGGATCTTTAATGACCACAGAGAGTCAGGACCTCGGTTTAACATCTCATCCGAAAGACTACAGCATAGTGTCCCCACCACTATACCAGGGCATTAAGACCCACACAGACCGCAGGTTGGGGACCCCCCAGTAGTCCCACTAACACCACTTCCAGCAGCAACCATAGCTTCCCAGGAGGTCTCCCATCCAGGTACCAACCAGGATCAACCCTGCTGAGCTTCAGTGGGTAGCCAGTTGAGAGCTGCAGGGTGACATGGCTGCTGTAATAATAATAATAATAATAATAATAATAATAATAATAATAATAATAATAATTTCTTGCTTATATAGTGCATTTCTGGACACTCCACTCAAAGCACTTTACAGGTAATGGGGATCCCCTCCACCCCCAGTGTTCAACCCCACCTGGATGATGTGAAGGGAGCCATACTGCGCCAGTATGCTCCCCACACACCAGCTATCAGAAGGGAGGAGAGCAGGGTGATGAAGCCAATTTGTTACTGATTAGCCAATTGATCTGAGGATCTCATCCAGCTGTTTCTGAAAAGAAACCAGGATACCAGCTTTGTCAAGACTGACTGAGCTCTGTGAAGCTGCCCCCCTACAAGCAGCACAATGAAACCCACTGCATTCGTTTGTGCTCCCTCTGTGCCATTTGCTGCTGTTGAAGGTAGATTCTTAGGTGCTTTCGTTCCCAAGATATACTGCCTTCATTTAGCTGCAAATAATAATCGCTTACACTTATATAGCTCTTTTCTGGACACTCCACTCAAAGTGCTTTACAGGTAATGGGGACTCCCCTCCACCACCAGCAATGGTGTTGCACGACTCCCCCAAAAAAGAACCTGCTGTATCTTGGGAATGAAAACGCTTAGGGAGCTATCTTCAACTGCACAAATCATCACTGATGGAGTACAGCCGAATGCAGTGGGTGTCATTGTGCAGCTTGCTAGTTAACCACATGTCCTTAGAGCTCACAGACTGCATTCCCTGCTGGATGTTGATGGACCAGGAGATGGCGCCCATCATCAACGTTCACACCAAAGGCCCACGATGATGAGGGGGGAACACTGTGCTGTTGTAGTTAGTTAAAAAAGGCCAAGAAGGGAATTTAGGGTCGGCACTCCTACAATCTGTCCTCCCTAAAGCTCCGTCTTAATTCAAATGGTGCGACTGTGTCGCTCTCTTCCCCCTGACGTGCAGTTCACTGGAAGGCTGAAGCCAGCCCCCCCCCACATGTCTGCAGCACTTGGAAATCCCCGTGACACGAAAAGCGCTTGAAAGACATTCAAGGAGCGATTACACACGATGTGCATTAACATAAAGAAACGTGAGAATGGGATAAAGTGAGCGGTGTAGCGTAGCTACGCCAGGAGAGAGAAAGCGAGAGGCGGTCACCGAGCCACAGACAGAGAGAAGGCATGTACTTTTATTACTATACTATATGTTCATAAAAGTCTCTCTTACCAGACACCGAAGACATCAGATGAGAAGCGAGGACCAATACCCCAAATGCCAGCCGCATCGCGCACTTAACAATAAAAACTAGCAGTAACAAACAGAACCCGTGAACCTGTTATCCTATAAATTTATCAATAAGGCGATTTTAAAACCAATATGCATTGCAGCAGCTTAGAAGTATATTAAAAACGGAGTACGAGAGAAACGGATTTGTTGAAGCTAACAAAATGCGTTCTAACGCGAACACGATTACTTTCGGTTTTGCTTCGATTTCGGAGCAGTTTGTTGACTCATTGGATTGTTATTATTTTTAAAAAGCTCTCCAAAGGTGTCACAAAACCCGCGACAAGGCAACGGTGATCACAATATCGATTACGCGTCGAGCGTGATGGATATCGATGTGTTTTCCGGTGATCAGGTGGAGAGGTTGACATCGGGGCAGCAGCCGCACAAATTTCCCGTCCAAATCGAAAGTTGTGGCTGCTGGCGCCTCGTCCTATCAGAAATTTCTTCAGCCTGGGGCTCGTCACCAGTCACTCAGTGCTGTTCGATGGTTCATTTTATTTAAACGGAGCTGGTCGTTGTTACTCCCGAGCAGCAGAAATAAACTTGACATTCTACGCAGCTATGCTTTTTTTTAAATAACGTAACTAGTTTTGGGATATTTTGATTGATCTATGATTCCTGACCAGGATACCCTTGAGTGATACACTGTTGTATAAGTGCTACAGCACCTCATTAGGTAGTGAATTGATCACAGGCGATGAAGTGCTTCAACCAGTCGCCTATCAAATAGCAAGGCACTTCTCTACACAACTAACTACCCTGCCATGTGGTTGAAGCTGGTACCCTGGAGTTTGGGATCATTGGTTAATAACTGTTAAATGGGACAGATGATGGTTAAACGGTCTTCTCTTATTTGCAAATTTTTTATGGCCAACAAGTGTCATCTTGGGCTCGGAGATGAGTGAACATGCACATTATCCAAGCTCTACAAGAGGAAGGAGACAGGACCCTACAAACCTAGCGGAGAGCACGAGTCACAGATGTGCAGGTTGTGTCCCATCCTACAATGATCAGCCCAGATCTTCAGAAGGAAGTTACCTGTCATATGGACTCAGTAAAATGCCAGAGCGCCCACTGCGAGAAGCCATTGGCCTGATAACAGCTGTGCATGTTTTGAAGTTCTAAATGTGAAGTTTCTTTTGAGGCTCCGTTTGAATAAACTAGATGTTTTCCCAGATGGTTTATATGGAGATGAAAGACGTGTTGTTTTCAGGCAGCATCTCTCTTACCTGGAATCCCCATCTCGTCGGGGCTCAGGAGCTGAGCAAGACCGAGTCTGGGCCTCTGAGGAAATAGAGGCTGTGGCTGTAATTGGTGGCAGTGCCCCAGCAGGGGGCGCTCTTTCCCGCGGACCAGAATTTCTGAACCCCAGAATGGTGACTGGAGACACTGTGCTGTCCTTCGCATAGACATGAAGCCAAAGTTCTGATGACTTATTCATTAAAGATCACATGCTTCTCTTAATAATAAAACAATCATGAATAATAATAATAATAATAATTTCTTACATTTATATAGCGCTTTTCTGGACACTCCACTCAAAGGGCTTCACAGGTAATGGGGAATCCCCTCCACCACCACCAATGTGCAGCCCCACCTGGATGATGCAACAGCAGCCAAACTATGCCCATCCACTTACCTCATGCCAGCTCTTAGTGGGGAGGAGAACAGAGTGATGAAGCCAGTTCAGAGATGGGGATCATTAGGAGGCCATGACTGGTAAGGACAGTGGGGTAGCACTCCTACTCTTTTCGAGAAACGCCCCTCACTCTGCAGGGGGGTCCCAGCCTCCTCATCCTCTGGCCCGGAGGTCAGCCCTTAGCCAAGCAGGTTAAGCCAGATTTTGACTAAACGCTGCAGTACACTTAATTCTTGGGCTTGTTAGTCCCAGTGAACTCATAATAAGAAGTTAAAGCTATTTACAATAGGCCTGGAACTATGGTGTTGTAGGAGTAGACTGACTAGTGATGCGCTTGGTGATCCCCTTCAACAGTAATATGGGAAATTGCAACGTCTTGCCAGTGAGCAAAATGTGGAATTGGAGATGAGTTTGGGGAACAGGAAAGAGACCCCCCTATCTTCTCCCCCATCAAATGACTTTCGGCCACCCCCACCCAATACTCTCCGTTCTTTGTTGCTGATGCAGACGGCCCGAGGTGTCAGACATGTGCCTCACTGATCAAAAAGTAAGGGCTTCGAAATTCCATCACGACAGACGGACACACTGAGGTGCGAGATCTCTGCTCTTTGAGACTCTCAGCCCCATGGTGAGGGGACGAGGGTGGTCCTTTCCTGTGTCAGAGGAGAGAGCTCCACTGTGACCTCCTGGACAGTACCGATGGCCCTAGATCACAAAACACCAGAGCAATAACACGGCATCCGACACCGGCACAGGAATGAGGGAGAACAGCACTCACAAAGCACAAGACTTGCTCGTCCACACCATTTCTCCCAGTGATGGTTAATACTACATTTATTATATTAGATCTGCAATCATGCTGTGCAGTGTCTCTGCCAACACGCATGAACTCACACAAAACACCACTCCACAACAGCTTCCACTAAGGCTCACAAGAACGTGCCAAATAAAATTACAGTTAGCAAAGTACATCATATTAATATTTACAATGTATATACTATACACGTATAGATTTTGATGAAAAATACTTTTTTTCCACAATACCTTGTTTGTAGCCTAACTAGCAGAAATAGATCCCAATTCACAGCTCAGTGCCTGGTCCAAGGAATATTTGGAAGGAATAAGGAACACTACAAATTTATATTTCTCATCTCCCTCTCATTCTCTCTTGATTTCTGAGCGAGGAAATTGGGTCTTTTAGGATCTGTTTCAGTTAGATGTGCCTCAAGCGTCCTTATTGGACTCTGTACAAGTCTCTGACTTTGAGGTGTGTCCCTAGGGTGTATATTAGGGTCTAGGACCTGTCTTCTCCTGTCTTGCTATACTTCAGTGCTGTATCCATCCAGGCTTCTGATTCTCTGTAGCTCCATTAACGTCATTCTCCGCCCCTTCCTGGCCTGGTCTCCTCCCCTGTTGCCATCAGCAACCAGCTTCCCGACGGCCTCATCACATACCGGCAAATCCGAGTCTCTCTCTGCTGTCTGCGTCTCCTCGGGAAAACAGCGACTGAGAAGGGAGGAAGGGGGAATCGAGTTAATATGAGAGGGGTGTGTGGACAGTGCAGCACACCAGGCGTGTGCGAGAGAGAGAAAGATCGATCAATAAAATCATGTTGAGGAAACTACCTTAAATCATTACAGAGAGAAAGAGGGGAACTAATGCAGACTTTAGGGCAGAGACTGCACCTTGACACATCAAGAGGCAGGAAGACTGAGTAGTGCAGATACTTTGACTGGATTGTACAGTATAGATACACTCACCCGTACCTCTTCTCCGCCTGCTGCTGCTCCGCCCTCATCCCTCTCTCTCTTTTTCTCACTCCCGAGCCTCCTCTTCCAACACTGCCCCCCTCACTCCCCTCTTCCTTCTCATGTCCCCTTGCATGGTCTCCTCCAAGAGGGGAGCCCTGGACAAACACCAGCTCCTCTCCTTCCGTCTCCTCCCCGTCCACTCCCTCTCCATCGCTGGGGGAGAGGGAGGAGGATGGGGAGGACGGGGGATAAGGAGAGGCAGAGAGGGGGCGGTCCCAGTCTCCCGGCTCCCTCCCTTCCCGCTGGCCATCCTTCCTCCCTCTCTCTCTCCCGTCTTCTCCCTTTCCTCCTTCCCGCTCCCTCTCTCGAGTTCTTGCTCGTTCCAGGATGTCCTCCAGGGAAAGGGTCCGTTTTGGCTTTGCACTCCCAAAATCCAAGGGGTCACTGATGGAGAGTTCTTTGACTGAGAAAGAGATGTCATCGTCCGATGTCCAAGAAAAATTAAAGTAAGGACCAGGCGCTGCCTGGACAGGTAGATCGGAGCTAGAGGCACTCCTCTGGGTCTTGAAACAGGGCGTTTGCTGGGATGGTGCGGATATCTGATTATTCCCGTTATCAGGATCCCCTTTCTCTCCTCCAGGAACAACTTTGGATATCCTGACAGGCCCATTCCCAGACACCTCCGTTTCGTTTTCAGTCCCTTCCTTCTCTATTTGGCTGAAGGTCTCCATTCTAGGGAGGATTTGTCTTTGGGTGTTTGGGACAGGCTTTTTTGTGGACAGCCCCGGGCTGCCTCCCCATTGGGACATGGAGTCGGAATCGGAGTTTGAGTCAGGCACGCCGAGCGCAGCTCTTAGAAACAAATACTCAGTCTTTCTGGAAGCCGTATGTCGCTGCACGTCAGACGTTTGGGTTGTAGGACGGGAGGGTCTACGCTGAGAAATCAAAGGTCGTCTCCTCCTCAGCTGGGGTGAAACGAGCTTCCTGGAAAATGTCCAGCTCTCTGTGATTTTACTCTGTGCCCGAAGATCTTCATCTCCCGATTGACTGCCTGGTGTGTCCCCTGTGAAATTGCTAGCTTCTGATTGGCTAACAGAGGTCACTGTGACTGGAATTCTGTCAAGCAACTGGTTGTCCCCAGATCCTGATTGGAGGGCTGAATTGTCCATAGTTCTGCCTAGCAACAAGGGATCATTGCCTATTGATTGGTTTGAAGCTTCCTCCGTATTCAACTTAGAGAATGGTGACAAGTCATGTTTTGTTTCAGAGTGTTTCCAAGTCACTCTTCTCTCTTTTCCATACGGAAACACAATTTCTGTGTCTTCCCACAGGTTTCTTTCACTGCCTGTCCTTGTTATACCTCTTGACATCAGTAGACTATTGTGTTCCCACTGGCTCCATTCTAAACTCAAAGGCATATTAGGCAACAAGACATTTCTTGCCTCCAACGAAATGCTGTTATTCCCTGTTTTTGTGTGCATATCTGTTGACAAGACTTTCTCAGACCCCAGTTGACTCCCTGAGGTCATTTCTACTCTTTTGCTGGGCAAGAATGTTCTCCCATTTTTTAATTGGCTCCCGCCATTGTCCAGACTCTGATTTCTGCCCGACGATGCAAAATCCCCGGTTTCTGACTGGCCAGTGGGCTCCCCTCTGTGTTTCTTTGCCTCGATCTCCTCTTCCTTCTCGTCCTCGGAGGATTGCACTGCATTGCCATGGGTTACCAGGGCTTCCTGTTGGTCCGGTTTTTTAGCCGTGTGATCCTGTAGCCACCTGAAGGTCTCCCTCTTTCTCATCTCTGCTAGAGAGTGCTGGCATGAGTAGAAAGGAGAAGGAGAGACGGGGACATTGATTTACAGGAGTGTTATATACAGTGTTTAACATACAGCTTATATACAGTGTCCACAGTATGATATAAACAGTACACACTCTCAGAGATTCAGAAAGCATATGATATATTAAAAGGTGTAGTGTTTTATAGATAGTTTTCAATGTAACTGTGCAATTATATACAAAGTATGCTGTATACATAGTTCACTGTTCAGTGTTATAATAAGTGCACATTTTGTGTTATGTACAGCGCAGGGTGAGGTGTGTATCAACGACTGGGAATCTTCTACAGTACATGATATATGAAGGCAGTGCATACCTGTGCCAACTCAACTGCAGAGATCCACCGAGCACAGCTGTCAGCAGTGGGGGTGTAGACTGTATAGACAGCAACAGCACAGCCCAGATCACACAACTCTAACAACAGGAACGAGTCTGACAGAGAGAATCAGGGTTAGTACTGTAGGATTTTTCTATGTGTAGGATTTCTCTGCATGTTAGATTTGCTCTCTGTGTGAGATTGTCTTGTGTGAAGCACCTGCTGTACAAATACTTGTTGCTGCCTGTTGTTCACAGCTAGGCTGGACAAGCGTAATGTTGACTCAGATATATAGACATCTGTAGGAAGAATCAGAGGTTAACTCCTTAATTGATCCAAAACTGTGATCTTCTACCATGTAGGGTGCATAGAGGAGAGAATATAAAGTATAAAAGGTGCTTGTGCACAATGGTACTGCAGTGCAGGAACACTGAGAGACTGTTACATGCAGTACATTAAATTTGATAGTATGCACACTACACTCCAAGAACATAGTGAAATATGACCCTACTAATGGCATACTAAAGGACATTAACATTAAGAGCTGGACACAACACGTTAACTAGTGTACAGTTTTGACAATAAGAGGAACTGTAAATCACGAGTTACTGGTGTCACGGAGTGGCCTGCAGTGAGCATGCTCAATGGCGAGAGGGGGGCGGGTCACACGCAGGCGATTCGACTTCCTTTGCCGCTTAGTCAGCAGGAGAACATCTGAGAAGAGCAGGGCGACAACCTCCACCTGCACACACGGAGACACAACACAGTAACACAACCTCCACCGACACACACGGAGACACAACAGTAACTCAACCTTCACCTGCACACACGGAGACACAACACAGTAACACAACCTCCACCGACACACACGGAGACACAACAGTAACTCAACCTTCACCTGCACACATGAAGACATGCACAGTAACACAACATCCACCTGGACATACAAACACAATCACACAACAGTCACGTAAAATATACATCACAGTAACACAGTACAGACGCAGCACAGTAAAACCAAACACAATCACAAGACAATATCACAACAATAGAAAAACTTCACAGCACACAATGACAACACAGCACAGCAACACAATCTTAAAATAGCACAATCAAATGAGTTTCAAACTGCATAATGACATTACAAATTTCACACACAACTTATACATTGGATGGTAAGGTAAAACACTGCACAGTAAACAAATACACGCACAACACACACAGGCCTATTGCACGTAATAAATTAGCTCCTGGACATGCACAGACACAAATCATGCTGTGAACTCAAGCGTGCTTCTCTACCTGACAGATGGGAGACAACTTGTTTGTCAACCTACCTTGCTGTCCTTCTTCTCTTTGATTTTCAGAGTCTCTTCCAATAGGAGCTTCCGGATGTGTGTAGGTCCCACCCCCTTCATTGGGCGGGTCAGATCGATCTGGCAGAATTCTCTGACTTGCTGTGTGAAATGGAAAAAAATGCAAGGTGTGAACCATATATCAATAGGCATATACTGAATTGAGGAACCATGGTGAATCCTACAAGAAGATATAGTTATCCTGAATGGGGGAATTAGCAATGACTTATGACACTGGCCTAGCTCTTAGATCAATCTATTGAGGGTGCCGATAGAATACTAAAACACTGGAGGATGGACAAGAGTCTGCACCCTTATCAATGGAGAGAATGGACAAAGCGAAATAGTGATCTGGATCCCAGGAGACCAAAAGCAACCAAGAAAGAAGACATCCACTATGATGGGATAATGCATTTTCTTAGAAGGATTTGGCTCTTGGATAACAAAAGTCCAGAACAGTTTAGGAATGTGAAAATCCTGGCGAAGGCATCAAGCAGTGTCAATTCAGGTAGAAGATGGCAGAAGTGATGATGAGGATGATATATGTCCAGTATACTGTACACACTTTCATGAAAATTGGAGCAGAAGGAGAGGACAATTTTATCTTCTTTTGTAATATATTGGAGACGCTGATCTCGGAATACTTTGCGAATCGCCTCAGCTACCCAGAATCTATCCCAGAACTAGAGGGTGAAAGATGGGACTACACAGTGGACAGAGTGAGTGAGAGACAGGACATACACAAAGGGACGATCAGTTATCAATAGGTACTGGATGGACAAGCCAGCACGTCTTTGGGAAGTGGGAGGATACAAGAGAAAACCAATGCAAACACAGAAGGTGCCTCCATCCAGAATCAGAACCAGGACCTGCTTTCTTCTCATCCGATCGGTGGGGGTATTTTCTCACACGCCACATGCAGACACGAACCGTGTCACGATGCGTAGTTTAGGACCCTGTGCAGGCGGTATAATCCGGAAGTGACTGGAAAAGGAACTACTGGGAAAACACGGTTAGGAGAGGAATGGAAAGGATGGCGGACAGGGGGAGGTGCCGACAGGGAATGCCGTTGCAAGGTGGGGAACGTTGGCAAACAAGTCCGAGGAAGTCCAAAAGGGAAACCGGGGCGCGGTCCATAATCCAAAGCCGGGAGGTCCATCCAAGACGAAAAGACAAGAATAAAAACAAGGAACAGGGACATGGAACCAGGAACTAGAAAGTTAAAAACAGAGTGACGAAGCCAGGCGCTCCGAGCCCCGGACTCAGCTGGTCAGGACGCCATTTCAGGGGCCGCGGACATGGGGCGACTTGATGCTAGGGGGGCCTCCGGGCATCCGTCTCCCGGTGCAGAGCCCCAAGCTTCCGGACCACCGGGTTTAAATAATACGGTGGATCCAGAGACAGGTGAACGTGATGATGAAACAAAACACAAAAAGGGTCGGAGTGCCCTCCAGAGGAGAGACGACGATCGTGACACACTGTCTCGCGCACACTTACTCTCTCCACGTCCTCGCTGATCCTTTCCAGCAAGTCGTATCCCTCTATCCTGCTCGCCGTCTCATACAGACTACTCTGCTCGTCCATTGACTGCAGATAGCAGTTAACACTGTCCAGGAAGGAGCTGACGCTGTCCAGCTGGGAGACACAGAGACACAGGGCACTGGTCAGTCGAGGAGCATTGGCAGAGAGACAGACAGAGACTCGGTACTGTGCATCAGTAAGCGCTATATCCGCCAATCCATGTGTAAAGCTGTAAACAGATAGATGCACAGATTGATACAAGCACACACAGACACACACGAGCTCTCCCAGGCAGACAGAGGGCCAGTCAGTACCATGCGCTGGACAGCCAGGCGAGTGTGAGCATGCTCTGTCCTCTTTAGGATGGCTTGTAGTAGCAGGGGGTACTTGGTGATGCGCTGGTGTGGTTTCGCCTGCATGTCTCCGAGTCGCATCCGCACAGCAAGCCTGTGGGACTCCACCCACTGAAAGACAAAGAGGGAGAGGGGTTCATACAGCTTACAGCCCACTGAGAGAGAGGGGTTCATACAGCACACAGCCCACTGAGAGGTAGAAAAAGTGATCACTATGCACACCTTGTGTTTATAATGACAGCAGCTGTGGTGTTTCAGACATTGACACACAGCAAGCAGAGGAAAGTCCAGTCTGACGCTGGGTAGTGAATAATAATAATAATAATTGCTTACACTTATATAGCGCTTTTCTGGACACTCCACTCAAAGCGCTTTACAGGTAATGGGGACTCCCCTCCACCACAACCAATGTGCAGCCCCACCTGGATGATGCGACGGCAGCCATAGTGCACCAGAACGCTCCCCACACATCAGCTCTCAGTGGGGAGGAGAGCAGAGTGATGAAGCCAGTTCAGAGAGGGGGATTATTAGGAGGCCATGATTGGTAAGGGCCAATGGGAATTTTGGCCAGGACGCTGGGGTTACACCCCTCCTCTTTTCGAGAAACGCCCTGGGATTGTTAATGACCACAGAGAGTCAGGACCTCGGTTTTTTGTCTCATCTGAAGGATGGCGTCTGTTTGAAGTGAAGGAAAAAGGGTGAAGGGATCGAGTGAGCGAGAGACGTACAGACATGAACATGTGGAAGCGAGGGTTGCTCTCAATCTGGCTCCTGGCAAATTCGGTCATGTTTTCCTCCTCCAAACAGTACTTCAGGTAGGGATGGAACCTTTCAGAGAACTGACACAGAGGAGAAAGAGGACAGAGGGTGAATGAGAGCTCAGAGAGAAAGGAGCTGTCTGACTGCATGCTGCAAAAGGAAGGGCTTAAATGTCTCAAAATGAGCTCTTTCCTTTTTTAGTGAGCTGTCATCACATCTTATACAGTATATAACCCACTCTGCACTTTAAACCTGCAAAGTAATGCTATGGTTTTGCTAAAGAGGGATGTAAGAGCCTGAATAATAGAGGAATGCTCATTTTTATTTTTCAACACATGTGATTCAGATTCCTGGAGTCCTGGCTTGCTTAATAAAATCAGGTTGGAGTCAACTACGAAGAGGTCACAGTGAATTGGCTAATTAAGGAGTCATTACCGTAAGGAAGCCGTGCTGGAGCCACATGGGGTCAAAGGGCTTTCCCGTCAGCCGGACTTCCTGCAGCATTGGCGACATCACTTCCTGCCAGAAGGCACGGTGGGAACGAATGATGTCAGGAATGTTAGAGAAGAGGAGCTCGGGCCTGACCTGAGACAGAGAGAGGTGTCAACACTGAATTCAACAGATTCATGCAGACATTCTTATTGAGGACAAGATTAATTCCCATTGCATCACACTAAAGCCAGACATGTACACCAGACATTCTCAGGTCAAGACTTTGTGAAACAACAGTATCAGTCCTAAATGGGGAGGGTTAAAAGTATAGGTGGTAGAACTGACTTGGTCAGCCTCCTCTACTGCAGAAGTCTGCAGCCCTGGTCCTTATAGAGCCCCCAATCCACCAGATTGTGTTGGTCACCATTCACTCATCAATTTCTACAAGACCCCATACAGCCCACTAAGATAGAGTGGCCTGCTAAATTTAATATTAAAGACCATTTTGGACCAGAGTCCAAAGAAGACAGTGTTCTCTTAATTGAGCACATTAAGAGAACTTGATTCAGTCTACAAGTGTTGCCAAACCTTAGAAACAGGCGATCTATAAGAGCAACTGGATTGAGGATTTCCTGGACCAGATCACTGCGATACCAAGTCAAAGAACACACTGTCAATGAAGATTGTACCAGATAATCAAGAAGTACGACGACGATCGTGACACACTGTCTCGCGCACACTTACTCTCTCCACGTCCTCGCTGATCCTTTCCAGCAAGTCGTATCCCTCTATCCTGCTCGCCGTCTCATACAGACTACTCTGCTCGTCCATTGACTGCAGATAGCAGTTAACACTGTCCAGGAAGGAGCTGACGCTGTCCAGCTGGGAGACACAGAGACACAGGGCACTGGTCAGTCGAGGAGCATTGGCAGAGAGACAGACAGAGACTCGGTACTGTGCATCAGTAAGCGCTATATCCGCCAATCCATGTGTAAAGCTGTAAACAGATAGATGCACAGATTGATACAAGCACACACAGACACACACGAGCTCTCCCAGGCAGACAGAGGGCCAGTCAGTACCATGCGCTGGACAGCCAGGCGAGTGTGAGCATGCTCTGTCCTCTT